GGGTCAACACAAATAAAAAAAGCTCCTGAATGTCATGCTTCACTATGATAAAGTATTGTGGCGAAAATGTTAAAATATCAAAGGTAAGGTAGAGAAAAGGGTAAAATTGTGAAATATTGAGTACGAAGAGCCATTCAGGACACACAAAGAAAACCTTTCTTCCTTTCAGCACGGCTCTCACACTTCAGGATGTGGACAGAAGGGGATCAAGAAGGAAAGGAGAAGAAAAGACCATGCAAAAATAGAGAAGGCTGGGGTCCACGGTACGTGTGATTTACTTCGGGCCTCAATCTCCGGGTAAAGGTTTGTCCGATGTGACGTCAGAAACGGAGAAAGCACAGGCAGAGTTTAACGAAGTATTAACGATTTGCCCGTTGCTCGGCAAGGTTGGGTGGGGTGTGTGGTATGAATTAACATTGTGTGACAGTACCCACGAGCTGTCACCCCCCCCCCCACATCAATCGTCAGACATTGCTATAACAATACACAAAACGATTTATTGTTCTTGCGGGTCCTACAATCCATGTCGTACACCTCTCCATGATGTTTGTCGCTGCCAGGCTTTAACTGCCCAACTAATGTCGTTTGGACACCAGCATAAAAGCCTACGACAGCAAAGTTTAACGAGCAAAGTTCGCTCGTGAGGACAAATAACACATCTTCGAGCAAGGGTTTTCGTGGGGGGGGGGGGTCTCATCCCTTTTGTGCAAGGCTTTCTCATACTTCATTAGTGTTTCACCTCTTTCGTAATCTACACGTTTGCATTTTCCTGGGATATTCGATTGAAAACGATTTTCTTTACAGCGAGAAAGTTTAAGTTCACGGTTTCTCAAATATATATGCTGGGAATTTGGTGATTATTTCACAAGAAAATTTCTTGAACGAATATTTTGAACTTTGATAGAGCCGTCAAAGTTAGAAAGATGGTGAACAGCGTCTTAAACATTAACAAATTTTATAATCCAGTAAGGCGAATTTCAGAACTCTTGCCGTTATTTGCAAAACTAGAGCACAGAAAGTTTATTATTGTGCGCCCAATAAATCTTTGATCATGGTTAATGGTTAAAAGCAAACTAAATGTGCTAGACACCTAAGGTTATTTAACACTTTAGGTTAATGGTTAAAAGCGAAATAAATGTGCTAGACGTAAGGTTAATGATTAATTAATTAATTAATTAACACTTTAGGTTAATGGTTAAAAGCGAAATAAATGTGCTAGACATCTAAGGTCATATAGCACTATAGGAAGGTATAGTAAAGGGTGATGTCAGGTGATAGTTGCTATGCGTCAACTATCTAATGATGGAAAGTTGAAGATGGGTAAGGGGGTTGATGAGGGAAAGGGTTATAGTGGTATAGGTAAGGGAATTAGATCAAGTGAAGGATATTTATGTGTCTGCGAGAACAGGTTGTTATAAGAAGCACGGATATGACGTAGGTCTGGTCTGTGAGAACGGGAACCGCGAATATTCCGGTACGTGTTGGGGAATCTGGAGGTGGGGGGGGAGCTAGGGGGTGTTGAGACATGAGTGATTCCCATGTGTATCCGGGAGGGAGAATGTGCGTATAGTTGGAGTTGAAGGGGGTGGGTTGTGTTGGGAGGGAGTAGGAGGAAGTGATGTGGGGGGGGGGGATATTAGTGGTAGGAGGATGGATTTTTGAAGTTGAAGGGGATGTGTTGTCTTGGGAGGGATTAGGAGGACGGGGTGTAGGGATGATATGAGTAAGAGGGGGGGGTGGATTTCAGGAGGATGGATATCGGTGGTGGACGGAATTGAGGGGATTAGGTTGTGTTGAGAGGGAGTAGGGGGGAGGGGTGTAGGAGGAATATGAGTAGGAGGGGTATGGATATCAGCAATCACATCAAGTGTGGAGGGAGCACAAGTTATAGAAGTTTGTGTCTCAAACATATAGCTTTGGATGTCTTCCATAGTTTCTGCAGTGGAGTTGATTGGAGAGTTTTGTGGGACAAAGGTTTTCTTATGAGGGGGGGGAGGAGACTGGTGTCTGAGGAGTAAAGGTAAAGGTAGGTGGAGGTGAGTGTGCTATAGGGGAAGAAGGGGTGGGACGTTTAGTCTGTCTACTGCAGGTAGTGCGAGGAGGGAGAGGGGATGGTGTTGGGGCTGTAGTTGAGATTGGAGCTGTGGTTGAGATTGGGGTGTCTGGATTTAGAGTGGCAAAAGAATTTGACTGGGGGAGGTTGAATGTAGAAGTGAAATCTTGAGGTGGAAGGGGAGGGGTCGAGCGAGCGACATTACTGGAGAAGGGAGTATAAGAGAAACCTTGTCGGCGTGCTTCCTGTCTGGCTTCACGTAGAGACCATTTTTGTATCTGAACGCTGCTACCTCAGACTCGAACTTGTAGGTGGGACAGCCTCAATAAAATACATTATGGGGGCCGCCGCAGTTAGCACATGTGCGTGTTTGTGCAGGGCAGTTTGATCTATTATGGCCGGGTTGGGCACAGAGGGGGCATCGGTCTGTGGAGCGGCAGTGTTTGGCAGGATGTCCAAATCGCCAACAATTTTGACATTGACGGGGAGGGGGGAGGCTGGTATGGTTGAACAGGGAGGGATTGTCCACCAATGTAGATACGCACGGGAAGGTCATGTGTACTGAAAGTAATTTTGGCAATGTTAGTGGGTTTCCTTCGATGACCTCTAGGAGGAATGGAGTAGCACTGTACTGATATCACGTCCTGGTCTTTGAGGCACCCGAGCATGTCTTCTCCACAATCTAACCAATCTTTGGTATCGTCTGGGCAGTTTGCTGGGGAGATAAAGGCAATTCCGGTACAAGTATTAAGAGTTGGATGAGGTTACCAGAGAGATCAGTTAGTTTTGATAATGCTATAGCTTCAGCTTCAGATCTGACTAACGAGACGGGAGCGATCGCGTCGGGTACGGAAAGCGACTCTGTTTTTGGAGACATTGTTGAAAGAGAAGAGTGTTGCCCGAGGAAAGAGCTGTAGGGGGATCAAGAAAAATCGGTCCCATTTAGCTGGGCTAAATAGAATAGTTAAGATATTTGTACGGTTGGTGGTGGTAGAAGGACGGGGGCGTGTGGAAGCGGGAGTGTTGTTAAGGGGGTAGTATTACAGAGATGGAGAATAAGGCTGTAAGGTAGTAATAAGGGAGGTTGAGGTGTTTGATGAAGAAGGTTGTAGGGGTAGTTGATGAATTTGATGAATTTGGGAGTGTAGGAATGTCTTCTGGAGATTGAGTCTCTGCTTGGGTGGGTAATGCACTAGTAGGCATTGAGGAGTGGGTAGTAGTTTCAGTGTTTGGAGTCGTGGTCAAAGGAGAGCCTGGGGTCGGGGAGCCGGTAGGGCTATTTGATGAAAGGGCAAGCCTCATTGCCCCTAATAAGGATATTACATCTTCATTACTGGCCATGGGAAGCCTTGATTATGTAAAGGGAAAAAACTGCCCCCCCCCCCCAGTGCCTTGTACGGGGGTAAGGCCTAGATAACTAAATCAGGAATACCGTGCCCATGGTTCCCACAGGCCGTTCAGGACTGGCACAAGGTCAGCCTTTCATCCTTTCAGCACGGCTCTTACACCCTAGGAGGTAGATAGTATATGGGATTGGAGAAGGGACGGAAACAAAAAGCTGGAGGGGGAAAAGACCATGCAAAATTAGTTGAGTCGAGGGCTGAGGCCCTAGACAGGGGAGATCCCTGCATTGGGTCTCAGTCTCCATCTCCTAAGCCCCCCACGACAACAACGGGCAAGGGATTGGGGGGGGGGGGTCCTATCTGGTTTCACATAGTGAGACCATTTTTGTATCCGAGAGTCTGTGGAACGGCAGTATTTGGCAGTCTGTCTAAAGCGCCAACAGTTTTCACATTGACAGGGAGGAAGTTGATATGGTCGAAGAGGGAGGGATTGTCCACCAATTTAGATACGAAAGGGAAGGTCATATGCACGGAAATTAATTTTGGCAATGTTGGTTGGTTTCTTTCGATGACCTCTAGGAGGAATGGAGTAGCACTGTACTGATATCACATCCCGGTCTTTGAGGCAGCCGAGTAAGTACTCTCAACTATCTGACCAATCGACATCCATAGGGCAGCTTGCTGGGGAGATACAGTCAGTTCCAGTAAGGTAGTAATAAGGGAAGATGAGGTGACTGGTGGAGTTCATGAAGCAGAGGTGCGGGCTGTAGTAAAGCATGGACAGGACAACAGAATGTGTGGAACTGAAAGAGGGACATTATATAGGGAACATGGAGCAGATCAGAACTTGCCATCAGATACGTTTGTGTTAGACAGGTGTGACTTGTTTCATCTGATAATTCTGGATTTTGTTGTTATCCCCTTTCCTTTATTTCTACCATCAGTATATTTAATGGTTACAAAGCTAAATAAGGTGTGCTAGATATCAAAGGTCATACTGCACAGTAGAAAGGTGTAGTAGTGTCGTATAGCATTTAAGGACAGTATGGCATTCGAAGTTTGATTTTTCCCACATTAGATATATTTCACTAATAGATTCTGCAGAACCATTTTAATTTCTGGTATTAAAGTTTATAAATCTAATACTGACTGAATGAAGTGAAATTACTGAACCAAGGCTACAAGTATAAATTGAGCATCGGCCACATATTACTGCTAATTATAGCAATACCATCAATAACCCCAAGATTTTTTGGTTTAGAACACTAACGCAAATTTTAAAAATATATTTAATGATACTTTTACGTTCTCTTCAGGACATGACAATAGCAACTTGATGCCATAAATTGTGTTTGAAGAAATGTACATTTTTGAGTCAAATTAAGGTTAATGGTTTCAATATTCTATATTGTCACTGGACGCGGGATAAAGAAACACCTTTTTTGTCCCATTTTATAGTAGAGTGGAGTAAGGAGTATCAACTTCTTGATTTCATAGACACAAATAGTTCTTATTTTCCATGTAATTTTCATCATGACATAAAAACCCAAATATAAAATATTTACAATAATCCTGCATTAAGAGGTATAACTAAAACACACATGGGAAAATAAGCTATATATATTCACTGGATATTTAACTATAATGTAGTTTCTGTGGTAGAGTTTGGCCTATTTCTTTTTAAATAATTAACCAAAAACAAAGTGCCAACTTGTAAAAAATAACTGCAGTTACTGAAAATACAACCCAATCAAAATGTCTGTTGACAAATTAAATATTATAAAAAATTATGCCTGTGGAGAAAATAGAATTCCATTAGCAGGCTTTTAAAGCATCATATATGTTTGTTTTAGTTTTTTCTGGGTACTTTTCACAATGAGGATTTATCATTAATTACTCTGAAAAATAAAACTGGTTCTTGTAACAAATTTGGCTGCCATCAGCTTATTGTGAAAATTTTCATCATTGCTTCTTTTCCATTAGTAAACACTCATTTTTTTCTTTCAAGTATACTCAAATACACTAAATATATAAAGAACCATGAACAGCATCATTCTGAAATCATAAATAACTTCCTACCCAAAAAAAGAAGAAAAAAAAAACTATATATCTACAAATAATACATCTTTTAGTTACAGTAAACCATAACACTTTATAATCATTGGATCTTTCCATTACGTCATTTCAACTGCCAACCTAGTTGTGAACACAAAAAAGAACAAACGTCATTCCAATACAAGTGTTTCAATAAGAGAATTTTTTTTTTCTAATTGTTTACCATACACTAGTAAAGGAGTTACAGTATTGCACAATAACAGCGCTTAGCTATTTTACCCTCATATAATCTGATGGGCTGTAGATTTCACCAAAAGTTTTTTATCTAATATTTAGTAATCAAAGGTATCACAAAACCAATAGCGAGATTTCACTCTCTTTTTGCTCTTCAACATAAATAATACCATGAAATTAAGTTCAACAAAATCAGGGGAAGAGAGAAATACATCATGGTATTAAAAAACTAATTTCACTGCCTTGGCTTGTGAGATTAATATAAATGAAGATACTGAAAATACCAACAGTAGCACCAATATTTCCAAGTTTTCTTTTTAACATTTACTTTCTTTCAACATCCAAATTGATCTCACAGTTTCATTAAAAAACAGTATTATAATGGGGTTGGGATAAAAGTTTCATGTTAAAATTATGTGGGCTTCCTAGTACCTACTTTACACTGGGATATTCTACCTTCATAAAAATATCAGTTAAGACATGCATGCCACAACCCCAACAATGCATTTTTTTGTTTTTTAAGATTATCATTTTTTTACTTTTTTAAAATAAGCTTGGAAGATCATAACCATGGTCATTATTTCTGTTCTGTCTAGGTGATAACAATCCCAAAGTAACCTTTAAGATACAATAATCTTACCTTGACAACAGAATAAGGCAAGATGCCAGGTTATTATTCCCAAACTACTTTCGGCTGTCTGTTGCGAGGCTACCGTTGTAAATTTTGAAGGACAATGTAGATAAAGAGGAAGAGCAAAGTCCAACGACAAAAGAAGCAAGACACCAGGTTTGACATGATTAACAACTCTGAGCCTTAATGATACTTCAAACATAGTTCACTCTACTTTGTCAGTCTTAGAAAATTATTTGTGAAAAAAATATCTAAGGCTCATCTCCACTGATCGGGTCACAGTGTTAAGGTCAGTTCCTACCCCTTTGAGGTGCGAGTGGTCAAGTAACAATAAAAGTAGTATCTGCCAGCTATGTACACAAAGCTCCGTTCTCTTTTCTGCCCCACTGATGCCGCTCCTTCGAATTTACAATCTGGCAATGCTCTCGTTTCACAAAGTCTAAGGCTATAAATTCTGACCTTGCTGCTCTTTTAACTCAAATCCTAAAGATTTCTAAATACAAAGCCTTTGAAATTTCACAATATTTTTGTCTTTAGGAAAAGTAAATACTGCATAGAATATACAATAAACTCCATTTTGAATTTCTATCACACTGAACGTCTCTAAAATGACTGAGAATTATACATAGGTCACCGTAGCTGCAGATCTCAAAGAAGTAACAATGAAATGCAGACATCAATTCAAATGTCATAAAGTTGTCCTCTACAACAGGTTGATGTACTAATTGACTTTGATTGAAGTTAATTTGTTTTTAATGTCGGGAGATATGAAATCAAAATATTACTTAACAGTCTTGCTAATTAAATGACTGGCTTTATTTCATGCACATCAAAATAGTCTTCATCATTTATTTCTATACACCTTCACAAAGTCCAAACTTTTTAAAATTCATTATAAAATCTACAATGCATGATGCTAGATAATGAGTCAACAAACTTCTTAAAATATAAGTTCTTGAAAGTGGTACAAGCCAAACCTACTGAAAAGTCTGAAATTTTCATAATGCAATATCCAATTAGTACCAGTTCTTCCACTTTAAAAACATTACCTCCTTCCCCTTTTCTCTAAGAAAATATCATACTATGATTTCAAAAATTCTAGTTTTCCCTGTTTTGAAAGATTAATGCACTAAATACGGACCTGTACATGTGCATATACATGTACCAGGCTACCGAAATTATGCACAACTAATATTTACCTAAATTTGTAAAATGAGTGGCACTCAGAAATTTCAGTCTTAACAGTAATTTCTGGTTAGTTGAAGCAGTTAATACCATGTAGAATGATGAAACAAAAAAAAAAAAAAAAAAAAAAAAAAAAAAAAAAAAAAAAAAGAGTATCTTGAAGATGTTAAAACAATCGTATATTGGGAAAGTTTACAATATAAATAAGTTATTTCCCTTACAATCTATACTTGGACCAGCTATAAAAGTACACCTAATTATAATAAATAGTAGTGACAATATTGCATACACTTCTTACCTAATACAAACTCTTTGGAGATACATTTGCACAAGAGTTTGAATATGAAGTTCAGAAAACTACCACAAAGGGGGAAAAATTATCAGCATATCACTGGTGTTTCTGAGGTTCCACTGAAACTGCACAGCTAAAAATCATAACCACCAAAAAATGAAGACAAGGGCAGAAAATAAGAAGGAAAAAAAAAGAGGAGACACCCTGTACAAACAAGTGTGAAAGAAAAGAATACACCTACTTATTTACAACATAGAAATAAAAATTTTGAGAAAAAAAAAAAGTTTTCAATAAAAAACAATAATGATAATAAAAATTAACAGTAATGATGACAATGCATGGTGGCGGTGATAGTCTCTTGAACACGACTATTGAAGAGGATGACTACCAGGGGTGAGAAGGGGAGGGGTGGGCAGGGCATGGGAGTGGAGAGTGGAGAAGGGAGGGGTACATGTGGCATTATAAAAGAAAGGGGTTCTCGTCTTGGGACGCAGTAGCAGAGGGGGCCATTCCAAAGCCAACGGACGGTTGTGGTGAGCCCCACGGCCCAGGGGCTGACCCGGGAGCACCAGCATTGGAGGGAGGTGCAGCAGCCAGCCCTGGGCCGCCGATTCCGGTGGTGCGCAGCTGGTTCATGGAAGGTTTGGGGGCTTGCTGAGCTTGGAAGGGGTTGGGGGGACTTGGAGCGCTGAAGGGGTTCACACCTGCAAAAGATGAAGGCGCGAGGCCCGGTGTAACGAATGGATTGGTGATGCTGTTGTTGTTGTTGAGGTTGTTGTTGTTGTTGTTGATGGTGAGGGGAGAGTTGGAGGTGATGGAAGTGGAGTTCAGAGGGGAGACACCTGTTTGGGAGAGAGAAAAGTAGCAAGCGGAAATCTCATTAGCGTGGTTTGCAGTTGTCATTAAGATGTGCTAAAGTGCAATAATTCTTTTTAATTTTTCCTTTTTCTTTACTTCATACCATAGCAGATTACATGACCAAAAAGATAAGAAAAGAACAAAAGTTAAGTCAAAATGCTTAGAACCAATTTCTTTTCATGCTTTTTCTTAATCAAGATACTAGTCAAAACACTTATTAGCATTCAACATAATTTTAAAACTAGAAAGAGAGAAATAAATTTTACCTTAAACAACTAACAGTTACCCTTCTAACTTAATCTTGAGGCTCATAATATTCCACTGAAGCTATTTTAATACATGAATTTTCAAAACCAAAATTGTGATACAGTGTGAGCCATAAACATTACGCATTCTTTTCCTTCTTGTGATTGTAAAAGTAAATAAAATTTCTCTCTTTTATTGTCAAATTTATATTCAATCTTATTTGCTGGAATGCAAAGTAATTCATCCAGCAAACTTAAAATATTCTATAACACTAAAAATCATATATGATGTTCATAAATTCATAGGTAAGCATTAATCTTAAAGCATGCAAAAGTTAAAAAGCCCAATAGGAATTTTATTGGTTATGAAATATAGTGGAATATGCAAGCCAATTCACAAAATATTAGTGGGGGGAAAAGATTTGGATTTAAACATTTTATATATCAATTTTTCTGGGATAAACAAATTCAATATAGTATTACACAACTGCAACTTCTGATTCTCTAATAATTTGCAAAGAATTCCTTCCCTTAAACTTAGGTAAGACTTGCAATGTACAAATTCACATAACAAAAAGTTGAAACCAAATCTTTTGCCCTCTTAGACTTTTTTTTTTTTTTTTTTTTTTTTTTTTTTTTTTGCAAAACACATAAACCAAACTCAATTCAAACCATATACACAAAAAAAGCTGTGACAGGAAAAGGGTTAGATGCAAAGCCCAACACAAAGCAATTCTAGTTCTAGCATAAGTTTGGCATTGGTGCAACCCACATCTGAGAGTCCACTATGGAGGGGGTAAGGGCACATATCAGCAGCACATGATGAACCTACAGCCTGGAAAGTCTGGGAGCTGTTAGTAGCATACATAACATGGTAGGATACACCAGGAGCAAATCACTTGTATGTATATGTATGTATGCACAGTAGAGTACACATATGTACATCATACACATGTATATGTACATATACTTATAAACTTACATTTAGATGTATACATACACATATATGAGGATCGGAACATAAGACAGATGATAGACACATCAACAGAGAAATGGTGAAAGCCATTAGTATATTCTTGGCAGAAAATAATTAATACCTGTATCCAGCAACAGTCCCTGAAATAAGCCATTGCATATACCAGATTCCTTGACGGTCTTAGAGGAAACAAACTTAGTGATAAAGCAAAACTAGGAAATATCATAGTAGAGAAGGAGAAGAGAGGGGACAAGAAGAAAAGACATTGAGAACTCACAACAGAAATGGAATAGATTTGGTAAATGATAGATCCACAGGAGATACAGGAATTGTTGAGACTTAAGAGAGCAAACAGAATTTAGTAGTGACAAAACCCAAAAACAACAGAATGGTAAGGGAAAAGTACAAAGGAAGAGAGGGTAGAGATGAAGAGCATCAAATGAATTACTGGAATAAACAGAGGAACAGAGAAGAATGGAAGACCACACTGATGCAAAGGAAAACTAAAACCAATGGCACCAGAATAAGGGAAATTGCAGGTTAGAATAAGAGGTACTTTCTCATTGGTTTGTATCCCATCCTAATTAATGAACAGTATGAAGAAATAAAGTAACATTAAAAAATAGCCTAAAAATAGCCTTAATGCAGTAATACATCACTGACAGACTCAAAATGTTACAAACAATATTTCCAATTTCATATCCCGTCACCTAAATCACTAAAACTTTCCCATCCCTAAATTACACTGCAGTCCCTATTTTTCATCTATATTTACTCTTTCAACCTTCGGGAGGCCCACCTAAATATCACCAAGTAACCCCAGATCTTGAAACTTCTTGTGCTTTTTGGAAATACTATCGGCTCTAAACTAATCTCAAGCTGCTGCTTCTGTACTAAAACACCTTAAATAATTAATGACTTTTTTCATCTCTGCATATCCTATCTGGACCAATACTATTGTTAAAAGAATGTGCATGACTTCTGTCGCATAATAAACATTTGTATTAGAAAATATAATAACTTAAAAAACATAATAATAATGATTCTCTAAGATTCGAGACATTTCAGCTCATGTCCAATTATTTCATTGAACAGGAAGCACATAAGCCTTGAAGAAGCAAAGGCCTATGCAATTTGCTAATCATCAGAAAAACTTTTGGTAATAGAAAAACAATGCACACCAGCTATTATTCTACTCTCTTGGAAGTTCTAGATGGTGGCCTTTTCTAAAAGATTAACGAAAGCTTTCTCCTCCTTACAAGCACTACTTTGTGAGTGAGAGTTATCCACCAAATATGCAGAGAATAAAATAAAAAAAGTGTTAGTCTACCTATTTGGTTATATTTTGTCCATCTTTTATAGGTTTGATAAATCCATGTTCAATAGAATAGACAATTAAAAAAGGAATTACATGAAACAAATTTTCATCATCAATATTTTCTTCTTCTGCTCCTAATCCAACCTGATATGAATGAAAAAGATTTGATTGGTTATATAACAACTAAAACATTACATTTCCCTAAACATAAATAAATATAAGTTACAAAGATGAAATTTGATTTATTTATACCCCTCATCTGATAAAAATAAAAAAAATAAAAAAATAAAAAAATAACTTTTAAATTTAATTTGCAATAGCAACTTAGTATTAGTCACCGAATATACCACACAGTTAAATCATGTTAGTCACGAAAATAACATTCTGAACATATCTGGCAGCTCAAATGTAAAGCAACATTATCAGTTGAAGTGCAACAAACTAAAGAAATCCCTAGCTTACACAAAAAAATTAAGAAAAAAAGAAAATAAATAATAAAACAATAATAACAATAACAGATAACAATATAAATATATTACTGAACAACTGATAATCTTACAGTACTTCTATGTGTTACACCAGCGAGTCCCAATACGTAGCTTACGCTTGTTCTAGCCTTCTGAACCTTGCAATTTATAAGACTTGGTACTGCATGAGACTTACCTAATCCAGGAGTACCTTGCTTGGTGCCAACCAGGTTGTCTAGATTTACCAGGTTTGAGTTTTCTCCCAAGAAGGCTGCAGGCGACTTTGATTTCTTTTCTCTGTTGTTATCTGGCACTGATGAACTTAGCCCGCTAAGGTCAAAGGCATCGGACAAGCCATCTGTTAGAGACAATTGGAATGTTAAGCGATGATTGCTATAGGCACTTATGCAAATGATATTCACGTTTTAACTGTGATTATTTGCCGTTAGATATGAATGATATATTTTACCAAAGATTCCTAATGACTAATTTTCTCTCAGACAATAAAATACTGTAATCCAACTTATGTCCAGACATTCCCCAATAGACATATCAAGATGAAAGAAAAAGAATAAAAAAATATATAAATTCATAGCATCTATATCTACAGTAATAAAAAGATTAATCTTATTGACCTTCATTTCCAATGCAATCTGTTGGGGATAAAAAAAGAGAGACAAGGTAACAACAACACTACATCAAGGGCACAAGTTATAAAAACTAAATCTGTTATTACAACACAAAATACACAAAAAAGTAGATAAAGAGACAAGTGAAAAAAATGGGTGACCCAAGATTAAAACAAAGTTAAAAGGAGTAACCTTAGTGTGGTATACAGTCACTTACTCAAAGATGATACTATGACAGGTGAAATAACAGTCTTCAGAGAAGATAAACCATGCAACCTGCTCATCTTAGAGATCTTAAAAAGACCAATATTAATTCTCCCAAAACTTTCTGTAGATCTTGCCACAAAACTCACAGAACCATAAAACGATATCAATATGCTTACTGTTGGCTGGCTTATCCCTGGTCGACAGAGCAGAAAACTCGTCCACATCTCCGTTGTTCGTCGGCGAAATGGGAGCGAAAGGATCCCTCGCTGGAGGCTTGGTTGGGACAGGCTCCCAGGGGTCACTGGCTTCTGCAGAGTTGGAGGGAGCTGGAGAACTTGAGCTGAGCACTGCCCAAGGGTCATTACCACAAATCCCTGAAATATAGATGAAATGTATTTTAGTCTCAAATAACAATTCACATACAGTATTCAACAAAAGGATAAGATGGCTCTAGGGCACTATGGGTACATCTTTTGAACCCAACTTGCCAATTTTCCCCCCTTCGTTTTGACAAATACAAACCAATGAAGGCAGAATTCATAGCTCCACATTTCATCAACAAATTTGCTGTGAAAGGGGGAGAATAACTGGTCTCTTAATTACATGAAATTTTCAATCTTTCATTAAAAATAAATCAATCATATCTAAATCATGAAAGAAAAGAAGAGAATAATAAAAAAGTAGATCCCAAAAATGTTTGCAACCTAGTATGACAACCTGTTTTACATCCCACAGCTAACAACAACACTCCTGAAGCAATGTTGAACCGTACAGACCTCCCATGGGTGGTTCCGGAGATCTTGCAGGAGGTTGACCCCAAGGATCCGAGGTAGTGGGAGGTGATGTGACCCGAGACGGAGGACCAGAGGCAGGGGACCCCCAAGGATCTGTATGCTAAGAGGGAGAAAGAAAATGTAACCATGTCATTACTATGGGATAAAATTCACACATACTGTACATGTCAAGACATAATACCTATAATTTGGCCGGGAGAAAGTCATACAGCTACGACGATGTTAGTACTGTCCATGAATTCTGTAGTTCCCAAACTTTTTCTAACTATCATCAATACTATCTTAACCCGTTGGATTAGGGTAATGTGGAAGTCACATCATGAAAAAGTTTGGCTGAGTGGTGGTGATGAAAAAAAAAAAAAAAAAAAAAAAAAAAAAAAAAAAAAAAAAAACTGAGGCTATCAATGGACAATGCTCTTGAAGAGAGATTAAACTTCAATTTTCCACAAGAAAACATGGGTGGAATGTACCATCTTTGAGCCATGCCTGGAGGAGCACCACTTCCAGCACAGACACTATCTCCTTGTGCAAAACCTATTTCTGCCTGCCTTGACTGGTGGTGCAATGTTACTAAAAATTAAATATTACAAAAATATTTCTAAAATAACATAACACATTCTTACTTATTGATATATTTACTGAACTGAGTTGTAGACTACCTGGAGAGATAATATGGAGTTTGCTGAACAAAAACATTCTATCAATATAGTGATAAAAAAAAATGAATTATGACCTTTGAAAATGGCAAAACAGAGTATGCAGAGTAATAGCTAATAGCATAGCAAAGAAGAGGCAAGGAGTCTTGATACTGCACATGAGTGTTTGTGAGAGTCAGCCCTAAAAGACACACACACTCAGGAGAGTCACCACCTGTATTTGGGTCCATGTGTGAGCCACAAGGCACCCAGATCTAACGGGTTAATCATAATAAATTTATCAGGCTCACATGACTACTTTTAAAATTATCCACTTCGAATTAACCAATGTTTCAAGTAAGACATTAAAATGAAGCATCCAAAATATATCACTCAAATGTGGTAATCATTTAGTATGGGTACCACTGCTTCAAATCAAAGCCTTAATTGTTATGTCATGCTATGCACCAATCCTGGCTGGAAGCTAAGCTTTTATGGATCAACTACATTCACACATATAATACAAAAAATAAAAAAGAACATCAAATAAAAATAGATAAATGGTCACAAGAGAGGTAAGGATAATCCTGACATAAATTCACTGATAGAAATACTTGCCAACATCATATCTTTTTCAAATCAATCATGTAATCAAATGTCTATGATGCTAACACTCTCTTTGACCAATTACACAAAATAAGCATCACTCAGGCTCAGGTAGTTTCCACAACCTGTTCTGGTTAACAATGGTAAGCACCTAACTAAATAACATGCTTAGATATACATTCTCCAACAAAAAGCTTGGGGATTTAAAGGATCTTAGAACAACTTGGGCAAAATAAAAAAAATAATCTAACGTAAAAAAAAAACAAATGATTCCTTTCCTTCCGATATTGTGTGTGAAAAAACATGCCACATATGATATAAAAAAATCTCTTTACCAATGGCCTTGGTAAACAGATTGTTTCAACTCAGTGCATGTAATAAAGCACTACCATTATATAAAACAATCTTCAGACATCAATATGGCTCACCTCAATATCTACAAAACTGCTGATCATTTTCTAATACAACTATG